CCGTTCCCCAGCGACCGTACCTCCATGGTAGCAGCACGACGTCGGCAAGACAGCAGGGCACTTAAGGCGATGGGGGCAGCAGCAAGCTCGAATTGACCGGCATTGTCTGCGAGACGACGGGTCCGGAGGATGCATCGGGCGCCGCGGCCGAGCCGAAGTGCCCTAGAAGGCCCCGAGAGCGTTCCAATCCTCGACGTCGAATCCTCCAGTCGATCATCCACAGAACTCGTCCCCAATGTGGGGCCCAGAGTTCTCGACCCCACCCTCGGTACCGCCTTTTTTCGCCGCGGATCCTTTCCTCGCGTGCCTCAAGCCCCAAAGACGGACCCCAAACGCCGAGACTGCGCAGAGAACCAGCACGCTGAGCCGTTGTCCGCGATGCTGAGGTAGGGCCCACCCCAATCTTTCTCACACTGCGTCCTCTTCCGCTCGTCTCGGCTTAGATGCAAGAGGGGATAGCTTTAGGTCGGGCCTGTCCCCCTACAGGCGGCTCTTGGGCGAAGAATCAAACATAGTCAAAACATCTTCAAAGATAGCCACAAAGTCGAAAAATCGTCCCCAGACTATGTTTGACTGTTTTTGGATATTCCCCCTGTAGAGGGACATGCCCGACTTCCGCTTAGACGCAAGGGGGGATAGCCAGCGGGGGGATCCGCGAAGTGGCTGCAGGTAATGGATTTGTCCGTCGCCTTCCGGCGCAGGAGGCGCCAGCATTCTGCATTGAGGGAGGCACCAGGCGCTTCGGGGCCGAAACCGACTGCATGCATGAGATTTCGCACCTCTGGGTGACACAAAAGGGGGTCCAGCGCCCCGGAATGTATTGCACAGCACACCCCACATGTTTGTTTTTTTGATGTGTCAAGGGTTCACGTAGTTCTTTCGGCATAGTATACGGCATGCTCGAGGCACCTCCGCCTTCTCCTCTTCCTGCAGTCGGCACGCTCGGCAAAAACTCTGCCACTGCCAGCTGAGCTTCTCGACGTACCATGTATCTATCAAACAGGTAGATGAGGTGACGGGAGACAAGGAGGAGAAGGAGCACTATAATGACCTACGGAGCTCGTTCCCGCCGAGCGTTGGGGCGGGGGGGCGGTAGATCACTGTGCAGCAGCACTAGTCTACAGCCTGTCTCACCAGCGAATCAATGCAACACGATCGCAATTTGACTCGGCAATCTTGTTTATCATAATGTCCAACGCAACTTGCCAATTTGCCTCGTGGCATGGGCCATATAAACTGATGTGGTGACCCGCGACACTTGTTTTAACCCCAGCAGAAGACAACCCGAAATGCAGATCGTGACGGTAAATATAAACACCCCGGGGTGTGTACAATGCTAGCAGGAGCTCGTCAAACGAAGACGGACTCGAAAACTTCACATTCTGAAATTTGAAAAACCAGCGTCTCCAATGCTTGTCCCACTGAAGCTGCGAACTCTTGCATTCAACGCGAATGTCATCTCGGTGCCAATCGCACACTGCCCTGTAAACTCCGCGCCGCTGTAGGCCACCCACGCAATACCCAGATTCGGGCCACTTCATCTCAGCACAAGGGTTAACAATTTGATCCACTCGGCGGGTCAGCATTTCAAGTCGCTTCCCCCTCACGGCAGGAGTGACCTCAGATAAAGGGCAACCATTGAAAATCTTCTGAGTGACATTGCACCGAAGTTCTAGAGCGTGTTGTATCCGACTGTCCGCTAGTGACATCATTGACAGACGCACGCAAGAATTTGCGCAGTCGTCGAGCTTGCCCAATATATCCTTCAAGGCAACACGCCAATCTTGGACACCGCCCCCACCACTTATCCGAAGCTGGTGCCCATCCGTGGCTGTACGCCGTCCCATAAGAGACAACCCGAATGTACCACAATGTCTGTAGAAGTACAGGTGCGTAGGAGTATACAAAACCAGAAATAACTCATCAAACGCAGCTACTCTCCGAGCTTCACCGTGCGCAGTCTTAATGCGATGGAACGAAAACTCCCAACGCTTTCTCGCTGGGACCCATGACATCTTCGAACTCTTGCACTCGATGCGCAATCCATCCCGAAGCCAATCGTATTCCATTCGGTTAGGTCCGCGTCTGGAACCATTGCAGCAATGGCCAGACACACCCATCTCAAATATGGAACGCGGGTTCACTTTTTCGTCAACCATTCGAGCCACATCTGCAAGGATATTACCTCGGCGGCTCGGAGTTATCGTGGACAATGGGGCCCCTGCAAACACATCAGACGTATTCGCTGTACTGTCTTTGAGAATCCTTGAAAAAGAAGACGCCGGTAATATCACATGGCGGACGCCCTGCGGTGCTAGGAAGAAACTTCGACCAGAGCGTAATGAGATAACACATTTGAACGCCATACACAAATTACCGACAACACGTACCGTGAAGGGATTGCCTGTGCTTGCGACGCAAATTATTTAGGTTCACAATCAATCAACATTGAGCAACGAAGAATAACGTCGTGGCAATGTCTGTGCAACGGGGAGGGGGGGTGCGCACATATGCCGGGCGTGATTCTGCAGCGGCTCTTGACCGAGAACGTACAAACCCAATCGACTCACGAACTGCTCGGGTACTAATCAATGACAAAATAGACCGAGGAACTTTCGAGCCAATACTTGAGACAAAATGGCTACGGATTGCACGACCCAGATGTACTGCAACCCCGCAAATTTATTGACCAAACCTATTGCACCACCCCCTTGTCGCTGACCTCCGATGACTGCATGGACCCACCGTCCCGGCTTTTTTACAGGCCTACCACGGCATGTTCTCACAACAGAGTTTTCGAATACCAAAAACAACAATGTTCGCATACCATCGAGTCGACGTGTTCAATCAAAACGGTATCAACGAGACATGCTGTACGGAAATGTCGTGCACAGCAAACTGGTTATGATAACGCTACTTAGAGGGCCTGTAGGCAAATCAAGACGCTTCGCAACTGCTTGATCCGAGTGCGGTTTTTGGCCCTTGCATACCCAAAACAGACAATTATGCTGCAAGCACGACGTATGCCATGAACAAGTGACAGGCAAGCCCAGAATTGGATCCATGAATCGGATCGGCGACCAAAACGAATCGGATCGGCCAAGCCGAAACGAATCGAAATCGGAAGCCATCGAAATCGAATCGACATCGAAGCGGAGGAGTCAAAAAAAACATGCCGCGTGCAGCAGGCCAACCGCCACAGACCACAAGGGTTAGGTCGGACATGTCCCCCTATACAGAGGAATCTTGGACGACAAATAAAACAGAGTCCCAAAACATATTCCCCAAATGCCCAAAAGTATTGAACAACTCGTCCCCATACTGTTGTTTTCACTGTTTCTGAATACTCCTCCGGTAGAAGGACGAGCCCGACGTAACACAAGGGGCTCCGAGGGCGCCCACCGCCCACTGCGACAACCCGGCCAGGGCCCCACGAGGGCACGAGGGCAGCAACCCCAGCAGGGCGAGAATGATGTCGGGATAAGCTTGGCCCAAGACGCGCGCCAAGCTTGCCAGAGCATCTGGCGGCGCAGCGGGTGCGAAACACGAGGCAAGACTGGACATCCTGGAAGCCTTGGAAGTCTGGGGACGCATCCGTCTCATGGCCTCTTGCTCCGCCGACCCACGCACCCTCGAGTCGTGAAACAAGAACGCCAGAGGGCTTTGTTCGCCTCGAGGTCGTGAAAGACAAGCACGCCTCGAGGGTCACGCCGGGCAGCCGGCCGCTGGGGGCCCTCGGGGCCGTCAAAAAACGGCTCGGGATGCAGAGCTGGTCCCAAGGAATGTAGAGGCCTCCCACATGGGCTCCGAGTAGGTGGGGCCAGAGGATCGCGCCGCACCGCCGAGGCATCGCCGATGCATCGGCGACGCATCGGCGTGGAGAAAGTCGGGCTCCACATCGAGCTGCATCGCCGATGCATCGGCGATGCGTCGCGATGCTCCGACCCCGCCTGCTCGGACCCCCTCTGGGAGGCCCCGAGTATGGGACGAGACCTCCGTGGGTCGATAATGTGATCAACTCCTTACGTCGGGCGCCTGGGATCACTGGCACCCACGCGCCAGCGGCCAACTGCAGCACCACGGGGCACCGACCATTGGACACGGTGCCATCCGCAAGTTAGCGACCATGGGAACTGCGCTTGTGTACGCTGAGGTGTCTGCGCCGTCTAATGGGGCTTCGGCGAAATCCCACAGGACAGCGCATAGTGCATCATTTTCTGGCCCGTTCTCCAGGCGACAGGAGTTGGTATATACATGCGTAATATATGTATATGCACATATATTCATAGATATAAGTGTATATGCTCACTGTGTGCTGGGCCGAAATTTGCCACTGGGCGGTGGACAAACATAACATAATATCGAGGGTCATGTTCCTGGCCCCAGGAACCATGGGACACCCATCCTTGGGCACGACACCACCCCGCTGCGACGCCCAGGGCAGCGTGCGTCACACCGCCGGGCATCGGCCGCAGGACGGCATGCGGAGGACGCCAACTGCTACGGCACCGGGCCATGAGGCGCCCTAGCGTCGGGGAGCCGACCCGAGGCTTTTTGTTGATCCGCGGGTCGAGAGCGAGCCTCTCCCGGTCGAAGCTAAGCTGGCCGCGCACAGCTTTAATTGACAGAGGGGGGAAAGCAGAAGGAGGGGCCTCACGTCAAGGCCAAGAGAGGGCGAAGCCCCGGAATCAGGCGGTGCCGAAGGCGGCGTGCATGCAGAGGAACGCCCTGAGAAGGGACACGCAGGGGGCAGCTCCCGGAGACCCAGGGAGGACCCCCGGGGGCAGGCACTGCCTGGGGCCACGCCTGCCTGCGGTCAAGAAACTCTCGCTCGGCGCGTCGCTGCGACCCGCTCCGCTTCGCGGGCCCCCCGAGCGGCAGCGCCCCGAGCCGCTCCCGGCCTCCCGGCCCGCGGAGCCGAGCGACGCGCCATCCGCTCGCAGGGCGGCAGGCTACCCGAAGGCCCCCGATCGGCAGTGGACCTGCCCTGGCGCGCGCTC